TCACGATCACAGGATAAATTTATTCGAATTCGAGAATCATCCAGAGCCATCAAACTTCTTGATCATCTACTACCACGCTGGATCCCTATGGCCAGCGTGTGGAGCGCCTGAAATGCACCAAGTGACCGCGCACTTTACGGTCGTTTACTGGGACTCCGGCAATTCGAAAGGTCGGCTATTCCGCTGTGCCTATGCCCTCATTCTGTAAATGTGAATCATCACCACCGCCATTTCTAAAATCAGTCGCAAACAAAACAAGTTCCAGTCACAGAAGCGCACAATAGATGTCCTACTTCTTGGATCTAGACGGGTCTCGGGCCTTGGCTTCTGCGTAGTCTGAGAAGTGATCCCGAGTTCTGAAGTAGGTCCTATCCCTGCTCTCGACGTAGTCCTGGAAGTCCCTCGTGAAAACTGCATCGATTTTGCCGGGGAAGAAGGGCGGGGTTGAACGAGAGGTACGGAAGCACGTTTGGGGGGGGGTGCCCTTGCTGAAGGAAGTGCAATACGCGACCTTCATTAAAACTTTCATGTGGTACTTCATGCTAGAATATAGCAAACACTCACAGACAAGCATGATGGTCGACTTGTACGTAGACGAGTGTGACGACCCTCGGAGGGGTGGTATCTGTTTCCCGATGCTCTACGTGTACCTCCCTGCAACAAGAAGTATTTTGTGGCCATTGAGCAGCACCGTGTACAGTTGTGTTGCGTTCGAAACCATGCTGCTCTGGATGATGCGGAAATGATGTGAAAAAATGTACAAATGAAGGGAAGTTTGATATTCGGTGCAATAGAAGCTTTCTTCTCCCGCTTCTTCAACTACCGTGCACGTTTCGACAACAATGAATGCGTGGAAAGTCACGACGACCGCGAACCCGACGAAAGATGTTGCTAAATTTCGCGAGAGCGAGCATAGACACATATCGAACCATGCCAACCATGTGCATGCGTGCCCGAAGTTGGTGCAAACATACTTGCACAAGAAAGTAGCGCATGACGCTCCACATAACAACGAATACTGCCTTTTCCATACAGACGGAAAACGATCGAAAACATGAACACTGAAATCACAGAAGAAGGCCGTGTTCAATTTCGACCGCAGGCCGATGCAGTACTTGACGATAGACTATGTTCCAGTGTGGTATCCACTCTTCTCGCCTCGCAACAAAAACACCCCTTGGCCATGCTTTGGTTTTGAGTTGTGCGGACACCGACACTCTAAGAGTAACCTCACCATGTGATTCCCGGGCCTCTGTAGCGAGACGCCCTGCCATGCGGCCCTGAAACCCTATCATCGCCGCCTGCCATTGACACAGGAGAGAAAAAAATCGAAACAGAGATCTCAACCGCTGAGCTTTCCCCATGCATGCCAGAAACAGAGAAAGTGTGTGTCGTCGGGGATCGGACCATGACTGCAGGCAAAAAAATGTCACGATAGGATTTTGCGACTCGACCTGTTTTGTTTGACAAACACGATGAAACGCCTGGCACGCTGGTCCTTTTGTCGAAATTCGTTCCGCGGTAGCGGTGGTGGTAGAATGTTCCGCATTCCCCGCGATCGTGACAGGTTGTTACTGATTGAGCCCCTTGTGGTTGGCATACAGAGATAGAACCACGCAACTCTTCGAGTTTGTTTTGCTATCTTCCAACACGCCCGGGATTATGTATTAGGGTGAGCGGAACAGCTTGTTGTCTAGGCTCACGCACGGTGCTTTGTAAATATGTGTTTAGTCGAAATTATCTTCACAACAAAGAGGGTAGCTAGTACCCCGTCATCGAACAACAGTTCGCTTAGATCGGCGGTGGTTTTTGGAAACTTCCCCCTCGGTATTATTTGTTTCCCGTTCACCTTTGTTTCCGAGCTTGAACGATATACTGTTTGTTGTGGAGTCTGCTGACCTTCAAAGCGTAATCAATTGTTGCGTCGAGATCTAAACAGAATCGGGCCGGTGTGTGGCGTTTGTGTCAGCCCGCACCAACCACCGAATACTTTTCTTGATGGAACTGCGCATGAAAGCCAGTTGTCGTCCACATCGCTGCATTTGCGGTGCACCTGGAAGAGATTTACTGGGTAAGCCTCGTACCTATAGACATCATCGAGGCATAGCCTTCAAATATGTAGTCCAATATGGTCTTCACTCGGCTGTAGTCGACCCAAACTCAAATAGACGAAATAGCTCACCATATCCGTCTTCTTCTTGACAACGACCGGCGTCATCTCGCAGTTTCCACCTGCTGGGTAATTTATGCCAAACAGGACCGAGAGGGGGTCATGTCGGAGGAGTAAACTTCAGTATGCATACAAGTATCTTCTCTCAATGCATACCATAGATGAAGAGTCTACGATAACCCCAATAGTTACGCATGTAGACGAAGATGAAACAAACACCGCGAATGAAGCAGCTTCCCCATTTTTTAGAGCCCACGACCGTGCGTACAATTGATTCGCGGCAACATGCAGCGCCATTTGGCCTTCCTGCACCTTCCGAGGTAGGTGCGACAATTCTGCCGCAATTGCTACGTAACGAACGACCATGATTCTATCGACCACCACAGACGTGAAGCGGGCAGTTCAGACGTTCAGACACTGTGCTTCGGAGCGAAGAACTCACACTACATGTATGCATGCCGTATAGTCTTCGCTTCGCCTTCACCTTGCTTCGAGTGATCCGTGTAGTCTCGTTGATTATTGCTGAGCCACACTTGATTGTCCTGCGTGGCAGCTACAGCGAACGGTGTGAGGAAGGTCGCTGATAGGTGCAGCTCCCGGAGGTCGTTTGCTTCTCTTTCGGCAAACGTGGCATCATCCGCCTGCCGCTGCTTCTGCTCCTCCTGTCCATTTGTCATATTCTACTTGCCCAACTGGCGAGCAGCCTGCATAAAACGCCAGAATGCGTAGCACCGTCCGCCGCTTGACTCGATACCCTGTGAGATAACTGTGTAGATAACGAAAATCAGTTGCAGGGGAGAGAGAGAGAACGCGCGCGTGAGAGAGAGAGATTCCGGCGAGTGGCGAGTGCCTGAATCCTCAACGCGGCGTGAAAAACGAGTTGATTGGCGCAACTGGCCGAGCTGAACCGACACAAGTTTCGCCGCACGCCACAGCTCCGCCAGAGTGCAGATGATTGCGAGGGTGTGTAAAGAAAGCAAAGGCCGGCGCCTTTCCTCATTGCCACACGCATCGCCTGAGCAAACCAACTGACCAATGAAAGTGCCTCGATCACATCACGAGAGTTGTGCGGATTTTCCTACTGTCAGTGATCTCGAAAGCATGTTCTCGCTCCAGGCCCAAAAAGATGTGGTTGGATCTGAGGCGAGGTGATGTACTGGTGGTACTGGCGTCCTGCAGTACACAGGTGTGGACAGAGGAGAAGGTTGGGCACAGATCACAACTTGTGAAGGTTTAGGTTGGGGAGGTAGTGAGGACGGGATCGACCTTAAACACGTTGTTGTCTATGCTGCCAGTCCGACATGTTTGTTGGGCTGTAACGCCACTTTACATACAATCAGAGATAGATGCGGGATACCAGCCCACGTCGGCGTGCAACCAACCTCTTCGCCCCAGGTTATAGTCGGTGCCCAGCTCTCGCACAACCTGGCCTCTGGCTGATCGTGTAACAGTTTCTTTTAGTCATAATATCCCTTATGCTTACTGCTGTGCCACTCTCATTGATGGGTAAGGGCTTCCCCGTGTAATGATGGTGCCTTCTTGCAAGTCTTCGAGGCAACGATCATGTTTCTCTCGTCAATTTTCAGTACATAGCCTTGGCCCATGATCATGCACGGCGGCACGGGGTGGATTTCCATGGCTTGGTTTGCGAAAACTGCACGTTCGTTCGTACCCCGCTCGACCTTTACGTTTGTTTCCGCATTTTGCTTTGATTGAAGTCGTGGGTTTGCCAATCTCAATCTTACAAGGACGCTTGCAACCAGCAGACCACATTCTTCGTCCTTCGTGACAAGATAAAGTTACAACGAGATCCATGGGTAAAACACGGACGTTCCTCCTCCGTGTCGCGCTGCTGCTGTCGGGATTTTGCGTCGAGCGACGAAAAAGGAGATGACACACATAATGGCCCAGCCCCCAGCTTGACCGCATATACTTCAGATGGAATGGGTGTCGCTCTCCCACCCACCCATCTAAACCTCCCGCTCGTCCGATGCTAGTCTATCTCGTTTTGTCACATACCGCCGGCATGAATACATACGAGAGAGAAGCATGCTTTGAAAAAAACACTCCCGGGTCATGTTGGAAATTTCATCGAAGCTGAAGGCAAGGCTAAGTACCAACCACAAGCATACCGTCGACCACGTCACCATCCCGGACCATACACAAAAGCGCCCCACATCGCTATCCCATCAGCACGGCCGGACACCTCCCGTTGTACCCAGACACAAACATCCTGCCAGTGCAATAATGCTTCACACCTGGACAATAAGCAAAAACCAAATCATAACCATCACCTGCACCGGCGTGTACATCGCTTTTCTGGACGTGGGGCGCGGTATTTTACTACCAAGACCGCGAAGCCGCCAATTTTACACCCCCACCCCGTGCGTGGGTGCGTGCGCATACATGCTTCCAGACGCCGGCACCCCAAACGCAACCTCCTACGCGTGCAACACGCTTCTGTCTGAGAGTCCTACATGGAACTTACATGGAACAAAGGCTTACAGCAACCCTTGGTGGTGCAATCGACGGAACGGGACACCATGCCCAACGGGGACCCAACACACCAGGGGCAAGGAACAGCGCCGCCGCCCCTCCCTGTAAACAACATAAAATAAAAGGAATCGGCAGCTCCATCAATCGACCAGAGTTCGTTCGAAACAAGACGGGGGCAACTATCACGATTACAACCACACTTCCGAACCAATCGAGACAGCAGTAGCCCGCCCCCCAGCAGTTCCATTCAGCACAAACAAGCTAGCCGGTACAACCTCCAATACATGCCCATCTCCACACTGAACATCAACCCCTCGACTGTTGTGTCCAATCAGATCCCTCCCCTCCCCCCCGCGTTTCGACCCGGAACACCCCGGGTGAGGGAAAGACAAACAAGAAAATAAGAAACAACGCGACTTCCGTATGTAGCGTGACCCACTTTTTCCAAAAACTTAATCAAGCGAGTTGGAAGCTATACCCAACAAATGATAAAACTGACACGTATCTACTTGTACGGACTTTGGGAAATGCGGACCCCCTCTCCAGAGGACCCCAGAGAACCGGAAACAACACTGTTGCAGAGGATTGTGCAGGATACACAGGCAGCCGTCCAGTCTCCCCCCCCCCGCCCTCTCTCCGAAGTAGAACATTTTACGCGAGTACACTGGTGACGCTTGAGCGTCCGCAGGGCTCGATGGACTTATGGGATGGGAAAAAATAACTGGATAATTGCTGATTTGCGGCGCTTTCTCTGAGCCTCGAAGTAACCAAACGAAAAAGAAAAAACTCCCCAGGAACACGCGGTGGTTCGCATGCGAGGACACGACCAGAGCGGGCTGACCAACTCATCAGTTCCACCACACACAAGCACCGCGCTAATTTACAAGCACCATGTAGCCGACAACCCCCGCGGCATGTGATGCTCCCACCCCAGCTGAGAAGAACTTTCTCTCTCTCTCTACGACAGAGAGTCACCGAGTCATCACAAGCACTCCAAACAAATGATTCTCAGCTACTTTCAAAGGCCGGCTAACTTCTCCGACCGAGGTCGAAAAGACGTACCGACGGACGGGATACGTGGGAAGACCGACGACGGCAGTATTACAATCTCCTTGCACGGCTACCCAGCGCTTGGACGACACCCGCAAACCACATTCCAGGAGAGCGAGTGATGGCGGGACAATAGCCAAAAGGTCGTTTCAGGATCAAATCCGTCTCCTTCGTGTCCCCTTTCACCCCCGTTGCACCTCGATCAAAACACCTGCACATACAGTCGGTCAGCCTGGAGACAATACTCTCGGTCCTGCGAGGATGGGTCAAGGGCAAAACACTGCCGTAACCTGCGTGTTGTTAAAGGCTCGGCATTGCCACCCCATCCCATCTCACGACACGGGCGCAGCTGTCGTGTCCCCCTCCGCCATCACCAAGGAGTTCAGCTCCTCGCGGAGAGCGGAAATCCTGTCATCGTCTCCCGCGTTCATCTGCGACGGTGACGTGCGAGACAAGGTCAAAGGGCAGGACGACGCCCGCAATATTGGCAGGAAACGAAGGGCAGCGTTTTAATCTCGTGCGCTTGGACACAATTGAGTCGGCGGGCGGAGAAGATCGGGGGCGGGGGGGATTCAAGCGTGCTGTTGGCATTTGGAAAGCACACCCGAGCGCGGTACGATACCTCGGGCACCCCAATGTACGGCCCCCCGGACACTCATGGCAGTACGGGGTCTACGAACAACAAACAACAACACGCACCGCGCTCTCCAGCTGCTGTCGAATCTTCTGCATCTCGAACTGCGAGTCCATCCTCTCCGATGCCGACCGTCGCTCCTTGGCGTCGGTCAGCTTCAATAGGTTCGGGTACAGCTCCGCGAGGTCCCCCGACTCGAAGCTCGCTGCCGAGGACGAGTCCTTCCGCCCCATCGCCTCGCCCCCCTCCGCCGGCGGCGCCAGCAGCTCCGCCCGCACGAAGATTCGGCTGCTCGGGTACCTCAGCGCAAGCCCCAGGGCCTCAAAAGAGTTCGCTGTCTCCGCTATCTTGGACAGCCCGAGCCTCGGGCGGCCGAAGCCCGAGCCCATCGTCGTGCCCGGCACCGACGGCGACACCGGCGTCTCCGGCACGCCTCCTTCGTCATCCGCAGAGGCCGGCGGGGCCGGCGGGGCCGCCGCCGCCGCCGCCGTCGCCGCCGCGCCTGCGTCGAACCACGCCTCCTCGGCGTTGGTCCCGGCGGCAGCGGCGTCCTCCGGCAAGGATGGAAGCTGCTGCGCCGCCGCCGCCGCCGCCGCCGCCGATTCTGCTGCCGCTGCTGCGGTCTCGCTGTCTCGCTGGGGAACCTTCGCCATAAGGGTGGCCGAGAATGGGCTGATGTGGCTCACGTACACGGTGCTCAGCTGGACCCCGGTCCTCATCGAGAGGTCCATCAGGTTGCCGAGGGCGTCGTGAGGCAAGTGGCGGGCTACGTCGATGCCCTGGAAAGCACGCCGGCAGGGGGGAACACGAGACGAGACCGATAGGCAGCTGGGGTGGGTGCGGTGACAACGGGCACTGCTCTATCATAGCTGTGCTTGGCACTCTGCGCGATACGAATGCGTAGACTCCTTTGCCACCATCGACCCAAATTTCACACCTGGGAAGCTTACCATCACCACACAGCACGAAAACAGCTACAACCTAACGATATTAATTAGGTTGGGAGTTCGATTCTCGGCGAAGCGTGGTGTTTCTTCTTTTCCTCGCTTCGTACCCAGTCCCTTGGTCGCGAGGCAACCAGCACACTCAAAGAAGCAACTTTTCTCTCCATTATTTCGCGCCGAAAAAATGATCGGGGGCATACAGGCGACGCAGTACCACGGAGGTGGGTCGGATTTGCGAGCGATGTCCACAAAACTCTGCCCATGACAGGAAGACAAAACAAACAGGGAGCAAACACGGCGACACCAAGGCCGTCCCACCATGCAAGCACCGGCAAGGACTAACACACAAATCAGTTAGGCGTACACACCTGCATGAGCTGCAGGAGGGTGCGGGCTTCAGAAGTCTCTGCCTGCTCGACGTCCAAACCCCCCGACATGGGGTCGTCCGGAGTTACCACCAGCCTGAGGGCTCGCGTCGACTCTTTGCTTGTCATTATCGCCACGAACCCTTCGGTGCTTACCGCCATGCCCTGTGCGTACCCCAGGACCAAAAACATGACAGGAACACCAGGGATCACAAGGGGAGAGACAGACCCGGGGGGAGGCAAGTGGGGATGTATACCAGCAGAGCAGCAGCTGTTTGGTACGAGGCTAGGACTGAGCCATCGGCGTGTTAGGGTCACACAAAATTGAGCGCGGTTTATATCCTCCACGACACGCACTATCAACCTGCCACGGTTCACGCCTGTCTCTCTGGTACGAATAGATCTAAGTGTAGGACAACCTGTCTGGCCATTGCTATAGCCCTCTATCTCTCTCTCTCCCGCTCTTCGTACATCTGATACCGGGGTAGAAGAGAGCGAGCAAGCATTTACCACAGCCAAGATACGGCAGACTCTGCCAGTGGGACCAAAGCCCGGAAAACGCGGCCCCAAATAGACCAACACTACAGCAAACCACCAGCAATAGCAACACAACTAGAACAACATTAACCGCAACAGCAGCTCACGTACCTGAAGCTCAACCTCCTCGAACTTCTCCACGAACGGCGGCAGCTCGTCCTTATCCTCCTCCCCCGCACCCTCCTCTCCAACGCCGTCAGCCCCTTCGCCAGCCTCCAAACCGGCCTCCCCGGAAACCCCCGTAGCGCCGTCCGCACCGGCGGCGGCCGAGGTCGACAATTCCGCCGTCGTAGCACCGCCAGAGCCCATCTCCGGAGATACCACCGTCTTCGCGTCCGCGAAAGAAGAGTCCGGGAAGCCGCGGGAGTCCGGCCCCGCGTCTCCCGAGACGGCGTTGGAGATCTCGCTTACGATAACAACCTCGCCGCCGTCCATGATGCCGTTGGCCGTTCCGCCCAGCTGGTCGGGAGAAGCGGCGGGGTCCGCCGCCGCCGCCGCCGCCGCCGCTGCTGCTGCTTCGACGTTATCGGGTGAATGCCACTCGAGCTCGTCCTGGGGGTTGCGGCACACACGTAGGCGTGTTTGTGGTGGGGGCAAGAAGGACGGATATTGATCCAGTGGAGATTGACAGCGACTGCGATATGCGAGCAATTCGCCGCAACAAAAAAAACGTTTGTGTTGAATGTAAGGCGGTACCGGGAACATCTCAATCTTTCGACTAAAAACACACCTGAGCGAACGCAACATGCGTGGCTCTTCGCGCGCAAACCATCCCGCAAACCGAGCGGAGATCATTCCCAAACCGACCAAAACCACTGCGTTCCAAGCACAAGCGGGGCTGCGCGCATGCATGCGCACCCGTACCTCCGCATTGTAGCGCGGCGTACGGCTTACCCCCAGCGGGTTAAGACCGGCTTCGTCCAACACTTCCTTCATCATTGACACCGTCCGCTGGATGTCCGGGCCGGAAACCTGTAGGGAGGCGTGTGTTTTAAGACCGGGGCGGTGACTACGTCAAGGACCCCCCTTCCAAGGAGAAATATTCAAGAGAGGGTCGACTTGTTGGGGGCGGTTGAAAATGGCTTGTCGTGGTGGCTACACACCAAATTCAGCAAAAAGAACGTGAGCATCCTGTGGTAGAAAAAGACGGTCGAATATATATTGTTCGAAGAAAAACGATAAAAATCTCCACTGCAGCTTTATGCCTTGTGAAGGGCTACGTGTACTCGGGACTGTAACGGGCACAGCCGTGCGTCCCCCCGAAAAAAAACGCATGTTGTGTAAAGGGCATGAAACCGAGAGCTGGCATAGATTGCCAACGAAAGACGATCTTGCCGCTCTTCGGTAGAACGTGATCACCGCCGAACGCTATTTGTCTCTAAGCTGTGCCGTGTATGGAAACGAGAGCTGATAACCAACAAGAATGTGGTTATCTGCATACTATCGGCGGATACAATGGTCACATCACCATATTCCAACACATACATGCCATCCCCGCCTCCAAAACATGCCTCGAGTGCGAAAATACCGAACCTGCGATGAACCCACTTGACTTTTCCCTGATGTCTATTTTTGCACGCATCGCTCCGAAACACCCAGTACAAACTTGACACACACAATAGGGACTTCCCTCCAACCAAAAATTACCCCGCGGAGCCCCCCCGCCCCGACTGTCACCTGAGAGTGCGTGACGAATCGGATGACGCCCTTCATGATGGCCATGGCCAGGATCCCCTTGTCCTGGAGCCTCTCGCAAACCACCGCGGCCGTGACCCCCTCGTCCGAAAGGTCCGGGCCCACGGTAACGAGAACGATGTTCGTCTGCACCGAAGAAGGGTCCACGTCGATCGCGCTCGGCATCCCCAGGTCGTAGAAACCCTGTTTCGTGGGATGTACAAACAGGGGCGTATTTTCTTGTTCGTCGTTGTCGAATGTTGTCGTGTGGTCGAATGCTCGTGTTCTGTCCGCAAATCGGTGGTGGTGGATTGACCACAAGGGAAAAACCAACGCCACGACCAGTTCATGAAACAGGAGATTCGCACTGTCTAGAGTTGGCCTGGAATTGGTCGAGAATGCGTAACGGCGTTGGTCAGCAAGAGCGGCATAAATAGAAGTAACTTGCGAGTATGATCGTAGAACGATGGACTAAAATGTTGACACGTTGCTGGAAGAGTAAGAACTGTGGTGGGGCAGGATTACAAGCGAAATGGCATGACAGCTGTCCGTGTTCGAACAGCGCTGCGTGAAACGCTTGGAGGGGAAAACGCCTCCTTTCCTCGCACGTCAACATAGAGACGCTTCTATGCATACCATCCATCGGAGACTCTAGACGACGCCCACTCTACAATGTGAAAGCCTTGGCTGGAATCTGATTCTCTCCCCAAGTTGATTGGACGTTTTGTGTCGATAGTGTCACTGTCGTTGTGCTCATGACCATGGCAACGCCCGCCCCCCTATACACTTGAAACGAACAGGATACACTTGTTAACCAACAAGGTCGGCCAAACCACCGCCACCATCAACACGCTCGACTCGTCCCCAGTCGAACATCCAGACAACACCGCCTCCCACGGTGTGGAAACCCAGCCCCAAGCCCTTCCAGACTCCTTTCTCACCTGGGCAAGTCGTCGCGCGTTAGCGTGGTCGTCTCCGATGCGGGGCAAGTGTTTTCTCAGCCCCTCCAACGCCGCGGCAGCCACCACCCCCGACTGCCGCATGCCCCCGCCCAGCGCCTTCCGAACTCGGAGAGCTCGGTTGATGAAGTCCTCGGAACCGGCAACGGCTGAGCCTACCGGCGCCCCCAACCCTGACAGCGCGACAAGGGAGGATACAGATGGTGACGAGAGTGTAGCGGGCTGTGGGGGGGGGGGGCGAACTCTCGTGTTTTGCATGCCTTAGCGGTTAGACCATCGACTACGCGTCCTCGAGAGGACGGAGCATTAAGAGCGTCTGGTGTTGGGTTTCGGGTGCCGTAAGGTGACGAGAGCCAATGCTGACAACAGCACTGGTACAGCCGCAGTGGCTGTGGGTGATCATGGTTTGACTTCATACTGCTATTGTTGCTGTTGCTGCTGTTGTTGCTTGTGCCGTGTTGGGCTGTCCAACGAAGGCACTCATGAGCACCAAGCCTTCAAGCCCGCGACTGCTAACGGTACCGTCACCGGTGCCCAACTGTGCAGAAACAGTACTACACGGACGGCATCGATACTCGTAGCCCCTTTTCATCGCGAAGCAGACAGGTTCCCATGACCGGTCCGTGCCAACCTACTGCCCCAATCAGACCGCACCACCAACGGCCGCGGCACACACGCGGAACCCGTCTTACCCTTCGAGTAGCAGACCGACACGCTGTCCACCCCTGCCGCTATCCTCGAAAGCGGGAGGCCGGAAGCAGCCGCCGCGTTCCACAACCGCGCCCCGTCCATGTGCACCCTCAGTCCCTCGTCCTGTTGAGTCGTGCGCAACCACAAGGACGGCGGCAAGAGTCGACGTCGTCCGACAGGGACAAGGCGGGCCAATACAGGGTACAGTAAACTTCACGCTGTATCATGGGACATAGTCAACTGCCTTGCTGCTGTCGTTTGCCGAATCCTTTCAATGTCAACAAGGGGAAGGAAACAACATCATCGATCATAATCTGGAAAAATGAAGCCAGCATCGTCAACACTCTCATGCACAGGAAGGACAGATTTAGGACACGCTGGATGCCTACAGATCGAGCTCGCCCTTCCAAGGCGTACTGAGTATGTCCCTTGTAGGACATAGGTGATCAGTGTATGTTTCTTCTTCCATGGTGATCGGTAGCACTACCCACAAGCTAGCTCATCTGTCCCCCCTGTGTGCCCTCTTTAAGCACTCGTCAAAACTACAACAACCAGCCACCTCACTAACGCAACAACGAACGCCGACAACACCACCGGACCTGCGCGAGCACTGCCAGGTCGTCGAGAAACTCGATCGGCAGGACCTTTCCCCCCCGCTGCGCGTGCGTGTTCTCCACCGTCACCAGCCGGGACACCGGAAAGCACGGGTTGTTGCCCCTCACGGCCGCTTCGACCTGTCCAAGGCAGCCCCAGCCCCAGCCCCAGCAGCCGCACACGTGTTACGGAAGGCAAACGCAGTTAGAGAAAACACGCTTAGAACAGCCATGTGTGTAGGTAGTCAGCACCAGCACCAGCACCTGCAGCCGCAAACATTAACGGAAGGCAAAAAAGAAACGCCTAGAGACAGCGATAAGTGTATTGAGCCCCAGCCCCAGCAGCCGCAAACATTCACGAAAGGCAAAAAAATACGCTGAAAGAAAGCACGATAATAGGACAGCGAGATATGTGTAAACAACAACGTTCACGGAGTCTATATCCGATTCGATCAGCAGTGTCGGGAAAGGTTGTGGTGAAATAGGCCCAGGAAACAAGAGCGCGTGCGGGGTGCAAGAGCTGCATCAGAACCAAGGGGGATGGAGTAGATACATCTGCACGATGGTCTCAACACGCGCTCACACCGCGTGCTACTGCATGCAAACCCGCCCAACACGCGGTGCGGAAAACTTACAAAAATCACTGAAATGGCCCAGCCGGTTCCCTTGACTGAAAGGGCATCCCTTGACTGAAAGGGCATTCTGTGCTCGCCTGCTCGTCTCCATGAATAACGGGTGCAAGAACCATTTCCGGATTCGTTGCAAAAAAAAACTTGCCCCTCCCTCACACTGATCACCTTATTGGGTTTTACTGTAAATTTAGTAGCCAAATTACTCTCCTCCGAGCAATGACAAAGGATTAGTAAAGACAGTAGAGCCTCAAAAGCAGACATCGCCGCACAGCACAGTGAGCGGCGGAAGCAGAAGGCCAGTAGACATGCACCGACACAGGGAGGTAGGAAGACCTCACAACAACGAGAAAAGAACAACGATGCGATAAAACATGGTAAGCGCTGAGGTATACATGCGACCAGGGTTACAATAGAGACGCACCGCCCTAAGATCCATCGTTCCGTCGGGAAGGTTTGTGAGTGGCCGGTATCCGATACCCCCGAACTGCGCCGCGTTTGCTTGCTCCCATAAGAACGAGTGAGACCTGCAGCACCACAAGAGAACGGCCGCGCGGGGAGAGAGGGGGGCGTGCTACAAACGTCACCATGTCTTGGACTTTGATGCTTCGAGCAGAGATGACTGATACTACCTTTAAGGATTTGCTCAAGGACAACGACTCCAACAAGAGCAACAACACTCCAGCACGGGAACAGCTGCAAGGTGGCGTAAGAATACTTCCGCCGAAGGGTGGATCGGAGCTGTTTACACGTGGTATTCGGCGCAGGGATAACAAACGTGTCAACATGTCAATGCCCTCAACACACCAGACCATCTTGCAAACAAAAATGAAGGTACAGCACAACAAGGGCAACAGCACGCACTACTCTCGGCGGGGCAACTAATCGAAGACAAATGCAATATTAGTCTCACACGCGGCGGTGTGCTCTTTCACCGAACATGAAAACCAAGTTGGCGGCAATCTACCACACCTACTGCCTGGTAGCACTCTCCGCCCATTTCTACTTCTGAAGCGGGAACGGGTCCTCGCGGCACTACTGCTGTTTCCTTTTGAAACGGAGACGGGCGCCAACGGCACAGCAGTAGCAGCAGCAACAGCTGCAGACTCGCAGACTCACTGGTCTCCGACGATCATCTCCGACCCCCTGTTGGAGCACCAGATGAGGTGGCAGATCAGGTTGGCCATGGTGCCGGAGGGCACGAACAGGGCGGCCTCCTTGCCCAACAACTCCGCCGTCTCGGCCTCTAGCCTCTGCACGGTCGGGTCTTCGCCGAGAACATCGTCCCCCACTTCCGCCTGGCGGGGTTGATCCCAAAGGGCAGCAATAACGTTATGGGTAAGCAAAAACCTCTGGTGCTATCACAGACAACGGCAAGAAAATTATAGTTACTATTGAATACAAATGAAATACGCCCGCGTATCACGGCGTGGTGCATCATATGGTGCCTTGCCTACCTCTGTACACAATGCGCACTCATAGTATATCAGGTGCGGCCGTTATACTCCGGCGTATCAATGATGGGAGCGACTGTGCTTGCTCGAGCTATCTCCTTCAGAAGCATGCTTTCAATATTGCTGTATCCGGAATTCAAGGCCGTGCAGTGGGTCCAATCTACAGTAGTGTTGTCGTGTTTGACAGCAAGGACTGTGCACAAAATCTGCTATGCGTACGAAACTCAGGGACATCCAGATCCCGTATCCTATTGTTGAATGGTGATCAATACCGTCGCCGTTTCGATAACGCACCAGGCACATATATTTCCCGCTTAGTCGGGGGCGGCATTTCTGGCCACAAAACGCTAGGATCTGCTCCTATCTTCACCCCTCCTATGTTTATCTCCGCCAAATCTCCGCCGTGTCTAACAACCAACTTCTACACCAATCATCAACGTTCCACTATCTGTAAGCGGTCGAACTTGTATGTACCGATACCGCAAGGCACAACAATGGCGGCCTTGTCAAGAAGGGCTTCTCCCTCATATGTGTCCATTTATCAGCTTGACGACGTGGGGCACTGTACTGCTGTGCTGTGCGTGGTCGATCGCGAACTGCTGACGATGCCATCCAACGCTCGTATGCATATGCTTGCACCGAAAGCAAGCGTCCGCTTTCGACCAACAGGAAAGACTTGAGCGTGTATCGTACATACAAAGTAGTCTTCCTAGAGTTCGCGATGCCACCGAGCTCCCTAATACCACAAAGAACCAAATAGTACATGCTTTCACCTTAAAACTTGTGCAGAGTTTGAACAAACGGTCTCAGCGAACGGGGCCAATGCTCTGTCTCACGAACACGGGAGGTTTAGGAAGTACTTCGAAGGAGAGACTGGTCGGATAGGACAACAAGTTCCTTCATGTACTGCTGCTGCTAAGAGGGCATGACGGAAAACTTGAAAAAAGAGCCGACGTGGCAGAGAGAGAACACTGATCTGCTGCTGGTGGTGTAGCTGCAATATTGTTCAACTACCGGCGTAACCACCACCGCAATGATAGCGTGTAAACAAACCGAACCAGCATTGAGACAGTTCCAGCCACATGATATTTGATCAACAAGCGGGGTCGGAGACGGCATGGGAGAGCTGCAGGGCGTGTGCCTTGGACTGTCGGCAGAAGCGGCATTTCGATGGTTTATTATAGTTCCGGATTCTTCGCAATTTACGAACAGCCTGTAGCGGGTAGTGGGATAGGGTTCGCCGATCAAATACGCTCAGGACACAAGTAGCCAGCCGGGGGCATCGGAAGCTTGTGCGAACGCACTTGGACGTACCGAACAACGTCAGCAAACGTGTGCCCACGCCAGAGGTGATCAACCACAGCAAAAAAGTACGTAACAGGTCCTCCTGGATACCTTTTGCATGGCCTTGCGCATGCCGCCAGTTGGCTGGGTGACAGTATCGCTCCTCAGGTCAATCGTTGGTCGCCCGGGCCACAGCCCACGCCTCTCGCTCATCATCGCCACGAGGCCTGCTCGTCCTGCCGTCCTTGCCGACTGCAACCCCGCGTTGCGGTGCGCCTCGATCCCTCGCAAGCTGCTGCTGGCAACGAAGGCCTCCGCGGTGCCAAGGTAGGTCAAGAGCAAGGCAACCAACGCCGGAAACTTCCGTGATGATGGAGGTCTTGGTGCCGCCACCGACACCTCCTCGGGCGAGCTAGCGAAGCAGGCGTCTCGGCGGCATCGTCGCCTGCCCGTGCTCGACATGGTTGCCCTGACTTGTATTAACAACGCCGTTCGTTTGTCCGTGTGTGCGCTTGCTTGTGTCAGTTTGCCTTTCCAAAATGGTTGACGTTTGCAGAACTCTTCTGAGTCAAAGACGAACAACGCCTCTGCACGGTGGTGAAACCTTTTCAAAAATCGCGCCGCACCTTCCCGAACGAGAGACAGCTCTCCCGGACCTCGCGCCTCCTCCTTTCTGTCCATCTCGCTCTCCTCTTTCCGGCACAAAACAACAATAGTGGGCGAGACCCGCGGCGGTACTCCTGCGCACCAAAGGCATCATGACTTCCGCCGAGCCGAGACGGAGGCGCGACGTGAAATCCCAAGACAGAGAAAAGAGCATGTCCCCGCTCGACAAAGACCAGCTCAAGCGGAGGTGCCTCGAGAGGGTTCGCACCGAACGCAGCCGCCTCATGGCACGGATGCGAGGCCGGAAGGGTGCGGAGGAAGAAGCCCGGCAGCTCTCCAGCCACGCTGGTGGGGACTCCGGTTCCCCGCTCACGGCTGCAGCGGGGCAGGGAGAAAACCTGTCCTCTCCGGGGCAGCACTCGCTGTCCAGCGCTAGGGAAATCCTACGGCAAGGCTTGAGCGAGCTGTCGGGCGGAAATGGCGACACCAACAAGCGACGCCGCCAGCAGCATCACCACATGAATCACGAGCGAACAGCGCTAGGTTACGAAGACTTCGGAACGAGTCCTGCACGGTTAGACAGCAACGGCGGAGGGAGACAGCAGCAGCAGCAGCAGCAGCAGCAGCAGCAGCATGCGGGGGGGAGCGAATCGTCATCGTTCCTCTCGGCAATCGAGGAGGAGAACGCCAGCTACCTCAACGCCTACGCGCGTGGGCAGGGGGTCTCTCTGCAACAGCGCCGGCCGCGGGATGGCGCCGCGGCTGGCCTGGCACCGATGTCGACAAGCCTCCGGGAACAAACACAAGGTTTTGAGGAAGGGAACAGCGATGATGATGACGCGCTCATGACCCGTGATGGCGGCGACGCACAACAACCTCGGCAGCCGCAGCAGCAGCAGCCGCAGCAACCGGAGGCGATGGTGGACGAGGACGAGCTCGGGTGGGGTGACGGCGGCGGGGCGGAGGACGACTGCGACGAGGAGCACCTGCTCTCGCCCGACGAGTACTTGGAGATGATGCAGTACATCGAGGAGGCTTGCAAGGAGGAAGACTTCAGGGCCGAGGCGGCGGTGAGTCTTTCCGCCTACAGCCTCTTGGGGACCCCCCTTGACACAGCAGTCATGAAGGAATAGGACTGATCTGCGCCTGCAGGGATGCCTGCAAGTCGGATCATGGTCAAGACGTGGATGAGCTGGTCCAATCGGCTGATGTGCTACTCCTTAGAAAATAGACTTCGCAAGACAAGCTGCGGTAGACTATGCATTCGAGATACTGCCCAGAGAGGATGTGTTCAAGTCTAACAACGGTGAGGAGACTGAACTTGATTGACTTTTGTTTAGAGTCCTTACACTTTCTTAAGAAGATTGTCAGCACTTTGCGCCTTATAATAGTTGGCAACGCAGAGGTTGATAGCAGCGACAGGAAAAATGCAACATGGGTTTCATCGTGATCGCTTTGTTCTCCAATTTGCCGTCCGTCCCGCTTGTTCCGTCGAATCTGGCAAAACTCAGGTTCTCGAGGACTACGAACTCACGAGACGCTTGGAGGAGGAGGAGGTGGAGTATGCTGTGGCGAGTCTCGATGATATCAACGGCAATGGTCAGGTGGGCACTATTCTGAAAGTACTCGCGCGAAAGACGGAGGTATATTATCTTTTAACCTCGAGTACTGTAGAAACGCTACAGCAGTTCCACCCCGAATCAACGAGAATTAGATAGTCTCCGGTTGTAACGGGGGATTTTACACACAGAGGATGGTGTGTAACGTGACCAGTGTGCTCTTGTTGTACGATAAAGCATAGGGAAATATACGAGCGAACCCGCTCGCTCGCTCAAAGACTCATCGCTCACTCCTGCAGTGATGCCGAAACACCCCGGAACTTCGTTGGTACTGCCATGCGTATCGTGTTCCTCCGAGAGTACCAAGGCCTCGCCTCGCTCGGCTTGGTAAGCCGTGTGATCCTTCCAATCTGTCTCTCAGCGCTTGTTTCTTCGCGAGCAATATCATGCGCATGGGCGGGAATCAAATGTTCTCGCACGCGTCATCTCCGTCTCAACCTTAACCCAGGATGACGCGGTTCTATGCCCCGTCTGCAAGCGCGACTACCTTCTCCACCCCGGCCCGCCTTCGGCTTCCATCGTCTGCGCTTGCGGCTTCCGCCTAGACACGGGTGGAGATCGCCTCGGCCTGGAGCACTTCAAGCAGCAGCTGGCGGATACCTACAGCGAGCACAGGCGAGCAAGCTGATTGGTCGGATTTGTTCCTCCGTGTCCGGTGGCTAACGCCGCCTTGTGGCGTTTTCTTGGTGGTATTCTTTTTTACCCTTCGGCGTTGAGTACCGACTTCGGTCGATAGCCATTTTTGAGTATGTCGAGCTCGGCGTTATGAACGATGTCATGCTGATTTTTGCATGTCGTGAATCCCTTGCTGCTTGTGAGTTTGGGTTTTCAGGACACGACGACCATCATGTCGCGTCCCTGTCACGGCCGGTCTCCAGACCCCAAGTCACGGGTCATGTGGCACGTCATTTTGCTGCGCGTACGCAGATGATTGCTGTCCCCACTCCATGCCCCCATGTATCTATAACGTAACCTGTTCGTGCTCTTCTTCGTGTCTCCCGCCTTGCCTGCCCCCCGCAGCACCGCTTGCAGCGCGGAGCCTAGCTTTGTGGTAGAGGGCGCGCCTGGCTTCGACGTCCTTTGGAGCTCGTGTGACGGATGCGGCTTCGCCAGGGTCGTCCTCTGACTTAGCCGAGCCGCCTGTTCTGCTACTCTCGACCGCGTGTACCCTCATCCTGTACAAAACGCGTTATCGCCCACGATATCAAGCTTTTCTTCTGTTTTTGCTACCTCGCAGTAGCTGGTTATTTTGAAGAGAGACGGAAGGCAGCCTCGGTCCTCCACGTGGGGTGGTGGTTGTTGATCGTTCGAAGCTTCTCGTGCGCTGGGCCCGAAGAGCGACGGGTTTTGTGCGTGTGTACGGTGGGGCAGCTTGTCTCTCAGACGCTGAACGAGTTGTTAGTCGTAAGCGTGTGCGAGTAGGGCATGGGTGATGCATTTGGTTACACCGAAAGCTCCATGTCAGAAATTCTTTCCTATGTGAAGCGGCCCCATGAGCCCCAGCGGCGGTAGAACAAGTCCTGGACGGGCCATGGGCAAACATACCTCGGGTACTACAGACAACCAATGCAGACGCGTTTCAATCATAGTTGTAGGGCTACGGGAGGTGGACAGGGGCCAAGGCGAAACGGCAACAACAGTCAACCGCAATGGTGTCGAGGAGTCCGCTGCTCGTCTGGTTACGACGGCGGGGGCGGCGGCGGTTTCCACTCAAACTCAAACTGTCCGATATTATTTTGATTTCGGGAAGTTCTCGTTCACTTTCGAGGTGGCTACTTTGTCGTCGGCCAATAAGGTTGCCCCGTACGTGCATGTTCAATGCTGGCGGGTGTCCCACTGTGGACGTGGCGGCCAGAGGGAATCGCCTGAATCGCGGAGCTCTCTTTCGAGGACGGGGAGCACGTATGGAAGTTCCAGCTGACATCCCGACAACGCTACTGGCCGCACCACAGAATTGCTGCCTGTTCGGGGAATGACGTCATCCCCCGAGCGATCATCTTCTAATCCGTTTTACTCATGTTCCGAAATACCACGACATACATACAGTTCGAAGCTTGAGAGCGTGTCGCGTTCCACATTCGTATCGATACCGCACAAATCGGTGTCTGATTGGTCGAGACGCATTGTCGACGCCCAAGCGCAACCGTGTTCCTCTGCCGGTAGTGGTCACTGCGATATGAAAAATAGTACCCCGGGGGTAGCCCCGGCCTCATCTCAAGCCTACTATACTTTGGCCAATAGGCAGATATGAGAATAATGTAAAGATCGGATGCTCATTGCGCTCGGTTCTCGTGGGGGACAACCCAGCTTGTGCCGCTGTTGTACTACGCTGGCGTCGTCTGCCACAAGCGCATACGCTCCGAATCCAAAAACCGACCCCAATATGCATACAAGGATGCTGACTCACTCATCACGAGCCCTTACGCTGCTGCAACCAAGACAAGAGGCGACGAGAAACACACAAAAAAAAATGGACAGAGGCGTTTAGCAAGGCGTGACGTTTATCACGCGCTCCCTGTCTGTGGTCTCTCCCCCCGTGTTGTAACCGCCCCCATCGAAATCACACACTTACAGTTAGTACTTTGGCGCCCCTGCGACAGGAAACCAAGGAAAAATCCACCAAAAACGCCAGCAGCAAGAATCGAGCCCATAACAAGCAACACATGAAGCCATGAACGGGCCCCGAGCTATCCCCATTCCTCGCTTGCCCGAGCCCCCTCTTCTCCCACGCCCCCTGCCCGCCTGAAACAACATCACGCCAACCAAGGGTTTTCAGTGTTTGCAGGCAAAGCCTCTGGAACAACAATACCTGAACTGTGAAGAAACACTACATAACGTCGGCAATACTTGTCCCCCTGAACACATTCGCCCCTTCGACGGCGTGCGTCAAAAACACACGCCTCGGAACTCGTAAGGAGTGTGCATATTTCGCTCTCTCAAGGTTTCTCGGTCCATCCCACCGACCCATCCCAAAAGAGACACACCCCTTGAAGGGGGATGAAGAAGTCCCTCCTCCTTGGTCGGAAACCCGGCTAGCATGTTTATGAAACCGCCCCTTTTCGGCTTGCTTTCGAAGAGCCTCAGGGTTCCTTCCGACGCAGCAAAAACAGCTTGCTCGAACCATCATCATCAACCATCATCATCAAGAATAAATTTTTCAATAACTGAGTGTGCGACGCCGATCGTAGGTGTTCCAATAGTCGCCGCACGCAACCAGTCATTCGTGGGATCCCGCATCGTCTATCGAGCCGCCCGCGCTCGGGGACAGGGCTTCGAGCCAATCCTTGCAGACGGTCAACCACTCGTCTTCTTCCGACCCGTAGGACAGCGTCCGGATCAGGATCTCTTCCGGCATGAGCCGGAAGGTTAATCCTTGGATTTTGCGACCTTCGAGGTACTCCCTGTTACAAGAGGCGAGAGAAGTGGGGAGGGGAGGGAGGGAGGGAGGTAAGGGTAGAGGTAGAGAGAGAAGAAGGAAGGAGGGAGGGAGGGAGGGAGGGAGGGAGGGAGGGAGGGAGAGGGAGAGGGAGAGGGAGAAGGAGAGGGAGAGGGAGAGGGAGAGAGTCGTCGGGAAATGGAACATCGCTCACCGACGGCTAAAGCATATACATAACAGCAGCAGCACCTATCGTTGCAAAAACGTTAGCAGCGGTGCTGTCACTGCAACGCCAGGCACAGACAGTACTAAGTGATCAAGCAAAACAAAAAAAATGCACCATTGTGCCGCTATCGTTATCATTCTTCTTGGGAGCAATCAGGACAAAACACTGGGTTGCCATAAAAGCCGCGTTTGACGATCTGGAGCATCTTCTACGAACGTGGGCAAAGTTTGCTATTGAACAAACCGCCCGTTGTACTCAACGTCTCTTAAAAGTATGGACTATTCCTCTTGTCGGTGGCGGGTATTGAATACGGAGTAGTGAACAAATGGCTCGAACGACGTGCGGAATCCGAAGGATGGTAAAAAAACCAAGTACTGTAACCGATCCCCGTCAGCCACAACACAGACACAACCTTCCGCAAGGTAGCAGCAGTGAGGGCACGCAGCGCGAAGAGACATGGTAGCTGTGTAGCCCGGCGGTCAAGTCACCTACCTTTGTTGGCAATCGTCGACCTCTCTCCCGAGCTGCTCCGCTAGTCTGGTCGCCCCGTCAAGCTTGGCCTGCATCTCTCGAAGCTCTTCCTCTAGACGCTGTATGCGTAGCCACCACACAAGAACAACAACACGTTACACGATCCGGTTCAACAAGGAATAAGAACGGGGGTAGGACCGCGAAATGGGTACAGAAACAAAAAACGATGACGATGAGAGCTCCGGTTTCTCTCCGGTCTTACTGTCAGCACGGAGGTGACACCTGTTTATTGGCTGGTTTCGACCGAAAACGACAAGGCAAAGGAGGGAACGTTGCACGCGCACGGAACCACACGCGGACCGCGGATGCCCGACAGCGGTGCGTTAAACCGTAGGACATGGTGGTGCGGTCGGGCCTTGTGGCTCTGCGGAAGCCGTCGTGGTTGACACGCTCGGCTCGCTGACAACAAACCACCCGCCCCAAAATATGGCTTTCGCCTGAGTTGCAGCAGCAGCAGCAGCAAAACACCACGCACCACGCCTGACCAATCCCACTTCCTTACGTGGAATCTGACAGGCCAAGACCACAAGCTATTGGTGCACAGCGGCAACCACACACACACACACCTCAACGGTAGATGCGGCCTCCTTCCTCTCAAGCACCGCTTCCGCCCCCCTGGAGTGCGCGTCATCCCTCGAACGCACGCATGCTCTGAGCGCGTTGACCGCGCGGCCGCACTTGGCCTTCTCCGTGGCAAGCAGGCTAGGCACGTGCAGCGTCACCGAGTACGACAAAATCTTGTGCTTGAACCACGAGTGCCTGTGAGCAAGCGGGGGGGGGGGGCACGATAATGAGCTCATGGAGCTGCTGCACACATTGCACTACTGCCCCAGGAGTCCAGGGGGGGGGGGGGGGGCACCCCTTTTTCCCAAAATTTTTAAACACAGGACCCCCCCCCCCCCGGGGGAAGGAAGCGGGGGGGGGGGGGGGGAAAAATTCCCCCATTGTTT